ATGGAACGTAGAGACATATGGAATGCAGAGTTCACTAAGTTTTACTGATGGATAGAATTATGTGGTAAGTTAACATTTGTTTACCTATTTCTTTAGTACTAGTCAATAATTGTTTCAATACTTCACTCTTATAAAGCTGCAAAAGATAATGTAATCTATTCCCTTATAAGGAAAAACAAGCATTTTTTTTCCCTAGGGGATATGTGGAACAAAATTATTACATAAAAGAAAAATTAATCTCCAACTTTATAAGAAATATTCAAAGTGGAGGAACAAATTTAAATATTTAGCAGTAACATGTGAGTTTCTTTTCTTCACATGCTTGTCGATGCATGGCGCCCAGTTAAAATTTTTATTAATGGCACTTCATTGTGTTAAATTGCATTTCTTTTATCACATTTAGACTCTTTACAATATGTTTATTGGTCATATGAACTTCATTTTATATAAATTTCTAGTTCATATTTTTGCTATCATTATTATTATTTGGTACTAGGGATTGAACTCAGGGGCACCCAACTATTGAGCCACATCCCCAGTCCTGTTTTGTATTTTATTTAGAAACAGGATCTCACTGAGACCTTAGCTTACTTAGCACCTCGCTGTTGCTGAGGCTGGCTTTGAACTCGCCATCCTCCTTTCTCATCCTCCTGAGCCACTGGGATAATAGGCATGCCCAGCCTTTTTGCTAAATTTCATTGTAATTTTGGTCTTTTCTTTATTGATTCATAGGAATTCTGTATGCATCCTGAATATCAACCTTTTGCTGATTGGGGCATATTCTCCAGGGTGTATCTTGTCTCTTAACTTTACAGGCTTGTGGTGGAGGTGGTATAGTTCAGAAATTTTATATTAATGCACTCAAACTAATTTGGATTTATGTTGTCTGTTTTATGGGGTCTTGATTAAGAAAAGTGTATCTGGGTGACAACTTGGTAGCCTGAGGCATAAAAATTGCAAATTTGAGGCCAGCCTCAGAAATTTAGTGAGGCCCTAAGCAACTTAGTGAGTTGTCTCAAAATAAAAAATAAAATGAACTAGGGATGTGGCTCAGTGGTCAATACCCAGTACTCCACCTCCTCACACCCCCAAAATTATATTTCTATCCTAAGATCATAAATATAAGGTATGGTATGTTCTTCTATTGGTTCTACAATTTTGTTTCTCATATTTAATTTTTAAATTCATCTGGGACATTTTGTGTATGGTGTGAGACACAGGTATAATGGTATTTTTTCCTGTATGGATGGCCAACTGCCCATGAATTGAAGAATCCATTCTTTTCTGTTTTCTCAGTGACTTAAAATGCCACTTCTGTCAACTGTCAATATTCACCATAGACCTATCCATATCTAGTCTCTATCTTTTCCTCCATTGCTTTATTGTTTTTTCTTTGTAAAAATACATTATTTACTGCAATCACAATAGCTTTAAAATAAGCTTTGATATATTATAGTGAATTCCTACCTTCTTTTTAAATAACAGAGATACAGATTTTCATATTGACTTGGGCTGGTAAATAAATCTCTTATAGGCTACTTTAGAGACACTGAAAAGATTAGTATTCCTTTTAAAAATTAATTTTGGCATTCAGATTGTAGAAATGATGACAGTACCTACCTAGCTCCTATATCTAAGACTACTACATCAGCCCTACACTAAGTTGTTAGAATAGTGTAAAAGGAAAATTATTAAGTAAATATTAACTGTTAGTATTATCATTTACAGAGACTGGGACCAGACAAGAAAGAGAGTGGTTATACATCCTACACCTACATTATTTTCTACCATGTTTGAAGTGAAATATGGGGTAAATGTAAGAAAATATGGAAGACACTTGCTAAGTCAGAAGAACATCTCTATCACTCTATGCCACAATCATCATTTCTTATTCCAAGACATTATACTTTTTCCCTTCAACTTTCTTCACAGTACCTCACCCCCACATTGATACATAAGTATGAAGTCTGAGAATGAGAGCATTGTGTCCGAGTTCCTCCTCCTGGGGCTCCCCATCCGGCCAGAGCAATGGAGCATCTTCTTCACCCTGTTCCTGGGCATGTACCTGACCACGGTGCTGGGGAACCTGCTCATCATCCTGCTCATCAGGCTGGACTCTCGCCTGCACACCCCCATGTACTTCTTCCTCAGCCACTTGGCCCTCACTGACATCTCCTTCTCATCTGTCACTGTCCCAAAGATGCTGTTGAGCTTGCAGACCCAGCACCTATCCATCACCTATGAAGGGTGCATTTCACAGACATGTTTTTTCATATTTTTTGCTGACTTGGACAGTTTTCTTATCACTTCAATGGCCTATGATAGGTATGTGGCCATCTGTCACCCTCTACATTATACCAGTGTCATGAGTCAGAGCCTGTGTGGCATGTTGGTAGCTGTGTCCTGGGTCATTGCTGGTGCTTGTGCTCTTTTGCATACCCTCCTCCTGGCCCGGCTGTCCTTCTGTGCTGACCACATTGTCCCCCACTTCTTCTGTGACCTTGGTGCCCTGCTTAAGTTGTCCTGCTCAGACACCTCCCTCAACCAGTTGGTGATCTTCACTGCAGGGTTAGCAGCCATCGTGCTTCCATTCCTGTGCATCCTGGTTTCGTATGGTCGTATTGGGTTCACTATCTTCCAGGCTCCCTCTTCCAAGGGCATTTACAAAGCCCTGTCCACTTGTGGTTCCCATCTCTCAGTGGTGATTCTCTATTATGGGGCAATTATTGGTCTTTATTTTCTTCCCTCATCCAGCAACACCGGTGATGATAACATAATTGCTTCGGTGATGTACACAGTGGTCACCCCCATGCTGAACCCCTTCATTTATAGCCTGAGAAATAAAGACATGAAAGGGGCCTTATTTAAACTCCTGAGTAAGAAGACATATTCCTCCCACTGATACTTTTCTTTTGACAACATTTGTATGATCTTGAGGGTAGCCAGGGGGATCTAGTTTGGCTATCCATGGCTCTCCTGTGGCAATAGATTGCCCAATGCACGTGACCTTTATCTCTGCTCTATTAGGAAGATCCCTCATAGTACTCTGCAGATGAGCATAACCTGTTGGGAACTAGACCGCCCACCTTTAACTTTTTTGCAGAACATTCTATGGAAGACTTTGATGTTTCCTGATATAAATAAAGGAGGAGCAGACTCCATTTTGCCATAGTATGGAAGCTTGATCCACACGATGGGCTTGCCTGTCCTGCCCCCATTTTTGAAATTGTTTTCTGTGTCCTGTGGTTTTTTTCGTTGTCCTATTTTTCCTAGCTTTTATTTCTCAGCCAGCCCATTCCACTGAGGGGAACCCCATTTCCACTGCCTGTGCAGGATGTGGGCAGGATGATCTTGTTTCCTCTAAACATAAATACAAATTATTAAAAATATAACTCATTTGTTTTCCTCTACATTTGTTTTTCAAAATGCTTTGCTGATAATATCCTTGCACCTGAGGAAAATAGTAAAGCAGAATTTGTTTTGTAAGACTTTATTTTTTTTTTAAATATTGGGATTGGAAAATATTTTGGCTGGTATCACTAAACAGAAGGCATCAGGACTGGTCCTTCTGCAGATTTAAAACTTGTTACAAAATGGCCTTTCACACGTTCATTTCTAAGAAAATTTCCTTTTTTTTTTTTAAGTAAAGATATAGCTACCCTACCATAAAGGTACCCAGACATCCAGGAACTCTGAATCCTTCTAGAACTTTCAAAGAAGGTTTAACTTCACTCACCTAGAATTAACATACTGCTTTCTTGTCCTTCAGGAGTATAGTGCATACTTCTTTTATCCCAAACACATAAAGGTATTCAGTGACAAAGTCACCTTGGATGTCTCAGGTACTGATCTAAAGGCTTCATATGCAGTAAAATCATCTAATTTTATCCTGACAACAACTCAAATACATAGTTTAGGAAAACTCAGGTGCAAAGAGGTGACAAACACCCGCAAAGCCATACTGTTAGTGAAAGGAAGATTTGAGTGTTGGCTGTCTGACTCCAAAGTGATTCCGTGAGGACCATAATAGTTTATGTGGAACAGTATAAATCAAAGGAAGAAAAAGTAGCACAGCTTGGTGTAGGAGGATACTAAAGACTCCCCAGAGCATGTATTGCTTTAACTAAGTCTTAAACAAGAATTATTCAGACACACAAAATTCCATCTTGTCCTGGTGATCAGAAAAAGGAGCATCATGTGTCAGGGTTTCCCTAGAGACAACATTTTGATAGACACAAAATAAAATAGACAAAATAGTCTAGTAAGTTGAAATAGAATAGTAAAGTTGAAAATGAAGATATTTATAGAAAATTCCAAATAATCAATATTATAACTCTTAAGCCTCTCAATCTAACGTGGGTCTAAAAATATTTTTAAGTTGGAAACAAGAGAGAAGGTCTTGTAGTAGGGTTCTTTTGGATGAAGCTCCACATCCTCCCCATAGGAAGGTAGGTACTTTCCTCCTTATTTCAAGCTTAACAGGAGAAGCTAGTGGACTAGAACCATTTAAAGAGTTTGGTATGTATAGCCCTGGCTTTTATGAAAGCAAAAACAATTGCAAAGAAGAAATGAGAAGAAAGGGCAGGTGGGAAAACAAGAGAAATATGTTCAGAAACTATTTTCATTTCTTATCATAGTGGGCAATAAACCAAAACTCAACAAAAGTTTCCTGTATACCACAGGTGGGTTGTGTGATAAAGAATAGTATAAGCCATTCAGTCTGCCCGAAAAGAGCTTTTAGAAAGCCAAAGAGACTCTGAGGCAGATAATTGTATGGAGCACAGCATTATATAATGAGGGGATCTGAGGAGGAGTGTCTACAGAGAGAAAAAATACTTTAACCACATTGCAGTGGGTGCATGAGAAGGCTGTTTGGAAGTCTCTAAATATCCCCAACCTGGAGGGGACACAGGAGAACTATTCAGTTTTGACCATTATCCAACCCAAGAAAAGGCGAAACCTCTTTAACACAGTGGCCATCAAGGAAACACGTTCTATGACCCCTTGTTCTGACCCCCACTCCATTTCAAGAGGGTGGGCTCAGTCACTGCCATCGGACTTCAAAACAATGAGTGAATAGGAGATAATATATCCTTATAATTCCTTCCTGGACCTCCAGTTATTTTTACCTCCGATTTTTTATTGGTGCATTATAGTTGTACATAATAATGGGATTTATTGTTACATATTGATACAAGTACAACAGTATAACAATATAATTTGGACAACATAACCCTCCAGCATTTCCTCCCTCCCACTTCCTGGTCCCTTTTCTCTACTGATCTCCCTTTGACTTTCATCTGAGGAATTGTAAATACTGAGGAGTGGTATAGTTGGGTCATAAGGTGGTTTCATGCCTAGCCTTTTGAGGAACCTTTATACTGATTTCCCGCAGTGGTTGTACTAATTCACAATCCCACCAGCATTGTAAAAGTGTTCCTTTTCCTCCAGATCCTCTCCAGCATTTGTTATTACTTGTATTCTTGATGACTGCCATTCTGAGTGGTGTGAGATAGTGTAGTTTTGATTTGCAAATCCCTTACTACTAAGGATGCTGAGCATTTTTTTTCTTATATTTGCTGGCCATTTGTATTTCTTCTTTTTGAGAACTGTCTGTTTAATTCATATGCCCATTTATTAATTGGGTTATTTGATTTTGGGATGATAAGTTATATTCTTTGCATGTTTGAATGGGTGAAAATGAACTCCGCCATTATGAGTAACTATAATGCACGAATGAAAACACTAAAAAATTCAAATGTACTTGATTTGAACCATACTATAAAGCACATGATTTCCTAGCCAATGCCAGCTTAAAATCCTATCAGATAGTGAAAATCTCAAATGCTATAATAACTGTATCCTGCTGAATTGATATCAAAGCAAGTAATACTGATATTCAACTACTCTGATTTCTGATGACATCTAGCTCAATTTCTCATGGTATTGACTAGGGACGCGGATTTTACTCTAGGCTCTCACCTGACTTGTATTTTCCAAAGTTACAAACTTCTTCCTGACTCTAGACAATGTCTTGCACACATAAGCTGTTAGATATAAGGTACTTGTATCTGTGTGTGTGTGTGTGTGTGTGTGTGTGTGTGTGTCTTGAATTGGTATTAATATCTCTGAGTTTGAAAGGCATTTACTGTGAAAAAGATACTATAGTACACATTGACCGTGTTGTAGGCTATTATTTTGCAGCAAGTCTATGCTAAAGCAAGATCACAGGGTTGAGCCCATTAGTGCTGAATTACCTGTAGCAAATTGTGCTAGAGGGAATTCATCAAATATAAGATGGTCCCCTGTCAAAAAATACTGGAGAGCTGGGGTTGTGGCTCATTGTTAGAGAGCTTGTCTCACACGTGTGAAGCATTGGGTTCAATCCTCAGCATCATGAAAAAAATAAATAAAATAAAGGTATTGTGTCCATCTACAACTAAAAAGTACATTAAAAAGTTTTGTAGTTCCTCTTTCTCAGTCTCTGCACACTTACCAATGGCATATCTCTCCCTTATTTACTAGAAATCAGAATATCTTCCCTTTTCAGGGTGACTTACCCAAAGACCCACTTTAAAATAAAATTTTAAAAAATAGCAAACTGATGCACGAATAACTTCAAGTACATTAAAATTAAGGCATTGGTAGACAGTAGATAATCTTTAATATAGTAACAATCTTTAAATAATGGAAGACATTTGCATAATGTTTATAATTAACAGTATACAAAGAATAAATTTGCAAGTTATTTGAAAACTTTCAACAATGAAAAAGATAAAGACAAAAGCCAGAAAAAACATGACCATGGTTTTACATAGAGGAATTCTGTTGCAAGAAGGGTAATGATAGATGTTCTAATGGCCCATTGTGACTCTCCTAGTGGACAGAAGCTTTTTTCTGTGTGGTAATTCAGGAACCAGGCTCTATTATCTCTGAGACAGCAGGTGATCTGCTTCCATCCAATAGAGAAAGAAATCTGCTTCTTTGAAAATCTGGCCAGGAAATAGCAAGCATTCTCTTCCAAGGAGAACATTGTGTCACCTAGACCTAGATTTGTAAGAAAATGCAACTGCTATCTTTGAGGGACAATTCATAGATCATGAAATCTGGGTGGGTAATAGCCATTTCTGACACTAACGGCCAGTAAACATATTCGAAAATGCTTTACTTAATGAATAATAAGCAAAATAGAAAGTAAAGAACAATGAGATATAATTTGCTATTTACTACACTTGGAAAACATTATAAAATCTTCTGTCAATACTGCTTATTGTTTCAGAGGCAAAGTAATAGGAATTCTGTGGATACAGATTTAAATCACTATTGATTATAATTAATAAACTATTTTTAGAGTAGGCTTACGTTCATAGAAAATTAATCAGAAAGAGTTCACAATGTATTTTTCCCAGGCACTGGCCACAGTTTCTCCCAACAACATCTTGAATTTATATAGTGCAATTATTACAATTGAACCAATATGTATACATTATTATTGATAAGCATGAACAGTTTATATTAGAATTCACTACAAATTTTTCCTTTGCTTGATTTTTAAAGTTATATAGTGACAAGCACTCAATTTTAGCATTATACAGGAAAAAATTCTGCCCTGAAAATCCTCTTTGATCTACATATTCATCCCTCCCTTTCTCCAGCACCAAAGACTTAGTAACCACTAATATTTTTATTATCACTTTAGTTTTGCCTTTTCCAAAATGTCATACAGTTGAGATCATATAGTATGAAGTCTTATCATATTGTCTTCATATTGTAATTGTTTTGTGGGAGAGTTTAGCAGTGATAGTTCAATTAGATATACACATGCTCTACAATCCAGTTATCCTTCTTCTTGAATCTACACAGAGGATGCGTACGCAAAATTGTTTGTCGAAGCATGATCAT